GATCATCGTCGGAGGGGCGAAGGGTAAAAAAAGTGTCCACGTCAACATGCACGAGGGGGTCGAAACTAGTATTCGGACGATTTTTTCTTCGTCTAACAAACAGGGGTTCCCTGTCGTCGTCGATGTTGACACTGTGAGGAGAAGGTTGTTGATCGATTTCAAGCAGCCATGGTCGTGGCCAAAAACTTTCTTGAGGTTGCGAGGACAACCCGTTGGCGATGATCTGATCGCCATGTTTGATAACCTCCTCCCAGTAACACAAAGCTCTTTCTCTCCTACTCACCTTATGGTCATTGTAAGTGCACCACGTCGATCGCTTACTCTCCAGCAACTCGCGGAATCGAACAACACCATTTTTATCATTCAAATAGTCATTTCGAGGAACACATGAGGCGGGTCAAACGGCCATGAAGGACCTGCATAGCTTTCATCGGGGTTTTGATTGAACAAAAAAATCGGACCTTCCTCGGGCAACCAGTTGTCATCATCGCAAAACTCCTTGTACAACATGCCCGGATTATCTACAATCATCAAAAATTTAAGCAAGTGCGTTTTTGAAATACCGGTAATGTCTGACGCAACGTACGGGTCCACTACACTAATCCAATCTTCCATCGTATCGAGGAAAATACATTTGGGAAACTTTTTGTTGGATTGCTCTATGAGCTCGAAGAACTCGTCCATAGTATAAGCGTCTACGTCTTTCAATTTATTCGAGAAAACGCTGAAAGTAGCGTCAACGTCTGTATGGGTGTGTCCCACCAGCATGACACCTATTTCTACCTCTTCGAAAACTCCGAACTTAACCAATAGTGCAGCCATCGCACATATGTACTTGTTCGTGCTTTCCCGCCAACAATTATCTGCTTGAATGCGCAAAAACCATGACAATGACGTCCCGCTCCCTTGAATTTCGACAAGGATTTTCATAACACAAGTAGCGACCGTGTTCGAATCGTGTTTGAAATAAGGAAACCACGTGTATACATATATACTAGGGTCTCTTCCGTGTGCAATGACGCCTGTCAGATTAGTCTTCATCATCAGCTCGTGCCTAAGCGCTTTCGAGTAGTTCGCTTGACCAATATGGGGGATAATTGTTTTCTTCTGATCCATGTCGTCAATGATGAGACACAAACGCTCGTTCGGACGAGCCATGGAATCAGTTTTCGCTCGACTGTAGTCCAATCTGTGTTCAACTTGCCTCCTTTGGTGTGCTTTCATATCCTCTCGAGCTCGTTCTCGATCTCGAGGAAGAGCAGCATATTGTATACGTTCCTTCAGTTCATGACAGACGACGCACTTTGTGAACGTGTTAGATTGCGCGAGGGAAACGTGAAAAAAGTATCGCCGCCACAGTTTATAAAAGTTTGACTTAGACACGACATCGAGGCCAGCGGCCAGAAAGTCTGATTTGATGGACTCATAAATTGATCTTTTCGTGAAAGCAGCCGGGAGTCGAAGCTTCGGTTTGGAAACCCCACCTTGGTTAGCCACCTCATTCAGCATGCTATCCGCATGACACTCGATGAACGTTCTCATGCTGGCAAGCATGGAGACCGTTTTATCGGTTGGCCGATATCTTCCCGTCAGGCCATGCTCAGAACGCACGTAGCCATTGTCGAAACACTATTTGTAGCTGTAAAATGTATTACGCGAGACACCGAGTACATTGCAGTACGCCCTGACGCACATCGAACGTTCCAACTCCACAGGGCGGACACGTTTCTGTCCACCCTCATTTACTGTGAAATCCTTAATACTTTTCATCCACCACACGGCTCGCTCTCCCGGACTCTTACTGTACAGTCCCTGTCTAACCTTTTGCACTTCCTCTGGCGACACATCGTAACAACATCGAGCCTTGCAACATGCCATGCCACGCACCATGAGCAGTCTTTTTTCGGACAGCATGTTTCTCGCTCTTTTGTACTGTACTTTCCTCCTAGCATTCCTATTAGCCATGTTATACCTTCGTCTTTCGCCTGGCAGAGGTTCGGGCAAAATCTGCAGTATCGCCCTTCTCTCTGCATCACCCCTGCCAGATGCTTCCGACCCAGACTGACTCTCAATTGGAATCGCGTCATCACTTTGCATTTGCGTTGGACTCACCCGTGTTATGGAAAGTTCCTCCGAAGAACAGTCGGTGGCAACCAACTTCGTACTACTGGAGCTAGCGCGAAGCAAAGGTCCACTAGAAGAGGACTGTTGTCCAGACGAGTAATCAGTGGCCACCAACCGCTCACTCTCGTCATCAGATGATGCGTAAGAAACACCCATTGGCACGCAACTGCTGTGCGCCGAAGCTGTGGGGTGCACCTCGTGAGGAATGTGGAACTCGATCTGGGAGGTAGACGGTTCTTTGCCCGTGGACGTTGTTGCTAAATCTGTAGGCAGTTGGATGCAACCTCCAAAGCTCTCACGAAAAGCGAGACTCCGTTTTTTGGGGAGAGTTGCAGCAGACTGTTGGAACAGCGAACTGGCCGAAGAGGTCGTCGAGGCCAATTCCAGGTGTTGTAGCTGGTAATGCAAGTCGACGGCTTGTTCAGTTTCCATACCCCAGTTCATGTGGACGTTCGCCGAGCCGTCTTTGGCGCCGACATGTAACCGTGGGTGCAGCGGATGCGATTCCCGTCAGCGTAATCAATTAATCTCAATTGTGCGGATTGAACGGGTCATTCGAATTCGTGTCCACACCCTGCAAAACAGTGGAGCAAACTGTAAGCACAATTACTAAAAAAGGCCCAACCCCCCCCCCCCCCCCCTCTTCAAATAGAGAACGGAGACATCCTTCCCCTTTTTGCTTTTTATACTTTTGTAGTTGGACGTTGAAGTCCGTAGCAGCTCTCAAAGTCAAAACCCTTAACCTTTTTAAAGGCCTCCGCAGATGGAACTCAGCTGTCACAAAGGGCCTTGGCCCCCCTCCCCGTCGCTCCCGCAGGTAGTTGAAGAGGGTAGGTAACACAACCGTCTTGGCGGTTGTTTAGCGTCGAGAGGCAAGTCCCTCAAGGCGCGTGTCAGCCAACACTTGAGTGTCTAATGAGACCCTCGACAACGCCGACAGCCAGGCGAGTATGGACAGCATATAACATGCCATCGCTTCGATAGTTTGTGAACTCATGCATGACCAGTGTTTATGAGGAAGCCTGTAATGCGGCCCACATTAATAGATGTCTACGTCGCGCTGCCTGCATGTGGTCGGTGATATTTGTGTTATGGGCCGGACACTCCACCGGCCAGGCGTGAATCTATGTTGTTAATTTGTTAACACATTTCTGTTTGTATGTTGCGCCCTGTAGGACGTGTCCTATCAGGATTTAGATGTGCATAATGGACGGTCGAACAGTCGCGGACTACAGAAGTCCGTCGGGATCCGAACTTCGCAGAAATAGAATCGACGGCTAACCGGTTATCAACGGGTCTCCGTAAACTGACTGTCGGCCAATCGTCATAACGAATGCAAGGCTATGACAGGCAGGAGACAAAAAAAAACATGGCTCAATGACCCTCAGCCGACCCCTGCAAACCCCGATTTAATGCACGTCGATTTGAAGGTTGTGCGTTGGGACTGAAAGCCTTTGCAGCCCGCGCGGCTTCGATACCAAAGCGTCTTCGTAATGTCGACACGCGACTGCGCGAACTACAAAGCACGTCGTGGAAGAAGCATGACAGCGACTAAACCACACTTATCGCGATGTTGGCTTTTATTGGAGGGCAACGAAGATCGACGGCATACAGGAAATGGACCCGGCCACTGACACCGTCGTCAACCCCAATAAACCCCTTTTAGGGCAATTCACAAGGCGAACACTTTTGCGCAGTACCAGACCGCCGTCATAGAAGACGGACGGGGAAGTCGAAGCTGTTGAAAATAACGGTCAGATTTACGCGGAGCCTCAAAGTTCGCCAGGATCCGAATTTGGCGGGTGTTTGAGTAGCCAGGAACCTGTTTTCGCACGGTCGCTGCAAGTGGAAGGGAGCGCCAGCGGGTGCACATAAGGAACGCTATGTCTGGGCGCACACAAGGAAGGCTCTGCCGCTCTCAAGTTTTCGTTGTACGATAGCACGCGCAGAACAAAGGGTAATGGTGGATGCACCACCACACTCTTCGGCGCATCGCGACCCCAAACTGACCCCTATAAACACCGATTCTCACCACCGTGTAGTCAGATGTACTAGCCTAAGAGGTTGTCGAACTCGAACATGTACACTGCGCAGACACGAATCAATTGGAATGACTTTTATTGGAAGGCAACGAAGATCAACGGCATACAGGAAATGGACCCGGCCACTGACACCGTCGTCAACCCCAATAAACCCCTTTTAGGGCAATTTCAAAGGCGAGCAGTATTGCGCACTACCAGGCCGCCGGCATTGAAGATGGACGGGGAAGTCGAAGCTGTTGAAAATAACGGTCAGATTTACGCGGAGCCTCGAAGTCCGCCGGGATCCGGATTTGGCAGGTGCTGGAGTAGCCAGGAACCTGTTTTCGCGCGGCCGGTGCCAGTGGAAGGGAGCGCCAGCGGGTGCACATAAGGAACGCTATGTCTGGGCGCACACAAGGAAGACTCTGCCACTCTGATGTTTTCGTTGTACGATAGCACGCGCATAACAAAGGGTAATGGTGGATGCACCACCACACAATTCGGCGCAGCGTGACCACAAACTGACCCCTATAAACACCGATTCTCACCACCGTCTAATCAGATGTACTAGCACAAGAGGTTGTCGAGCTCCGACATGTACATTGTGCGGACACGAAAAATTTAGAACTGCTTTTATTGGAGGGCAACGAAGATCGACGACACACAGGAAATGGACCCGGCCACTGACACCGTTGTCAACCCTAATAAACCCCTTTCAGGGCAATTTCGAAAGGGATAACTTTTGCGCACTACCTGGCTGCCGGCATTGAAGACGGACGGGGTAGTCGAAGCTGTTGAAAATAACGGTCCAATTTACGCGTAGCCTCAAAGTCTGCCGGGATTAGAATTTGGCGGGAGCTGGAGTAGCCAGGAACCTGTTTTCGCACGGCCGGTGCCAGTGGAAGAGAGCGTCAGCGGGTGCACATAAGGAACGCCATGTCTGGGCGCACAGAAGGAAGGCTCTGCCGCTCTCAAGTTTTCGTTGTACGATAGCACGCGCAGAAGAAAGGATAATGGTGGATGCACCACCAGTCAATTCGGCGTAGTGCGACCCCAAACTGACCCCTATAAACACCGATTATCAACACCGTCTAATCAGATGTACTAGCACAAGAGGTTGTCGAACTCGGACATGTACACAGCGCAGACAAGAAAAATTTAGAATGACTTTTATTGGAGGGCAACGATGATCGACGACATACAGGAAATCGACCCGGCCACCGACACCGTCGTCAACCCCAATAAACCCCTTTTAGGGCCATTCAGAAGGCGAGCACTTTTGCGCACTACCAGGCCGCCGACATTGAAGACGGACGGGGAAGTCGAAGCTGTTGAAAACAACGGTCAGATTTACGCGGAGCCTCCAAGTTCGCCGGGATCTGAATTTGGCGGGTGTTGGAGTAGCCAGGAACCTGTTTTCACGCGGCCGGTGCTAGCGGAAGGGAGCGCCAGTGGGTGCACACAAGGAACGCTATGTCTGGGCGCACTGAAGGAAGGCTCTGCAGCCCTCAAGTTTTCGTTCTACGATAGCACGCGCAGAACAAAGGGTAATGGTGGATGCACCACCACACAATTCGGCGCAGCGCGACCCCAAACTGACCCCTATAAACACCGATTCTCACTGCGGATTTCTGTGGCATGAAATTTGTTTGAACCAGTGCGGGAATACGGCCGCGTGCAAGTCCGGAGTGCGACGAACGCAGAGGTCTGCGTAACGCGAGCAATTTTGTGCACCTAGAGGCCTCTGATAATCTGATGACACACGATAGTTGAGGTCGTCGTAACGGGCGGTTGAATTTTTCGCGGGACCTCAAAGTCCGCCGGGATCCAAACTTGGTGTTTGCTCGACTGGCGAGGAACCGGTTTGTGCGGGGGATGTCGGTTATCTCGAGGATGGGTGTTGAAGTGCACAAAAGGAACGTTATGTGTGTGTGCCTGGTCAGGGAGGCCCTGCTGTTGTTCGCAAGTGTCTGTTCGGCGAGAGCACGCACAACAGAAATACAACAGAAATCGTAGTCGTAGGTGCACCACGTCAGAATCGGCGCAGCGCGGCCCCCAATAGACCCCCATAGACGCCGATTCTCCCCCCCGACAAAGTGAGCTTATGCGGCGATGCAGTCACAAATGTTATGATTTGTGATGACAATCACTGGACCCACCAAAAAAAATCACCGTGGCTGGTGGCCCCCCCTGCAACCCCATCTAACGACGATTCGTCCAGTCGACAAGGCGAGGCCCAACTCGCTCGCTGCCAACGTCGACATATGATAGCGCGAACTGCCATGAGCGCGAAGACACGGGAATGCCGGCGGCCAGATTGCACGCATGCCGATGACGACACCACCGTCGACAACCCCCTCAAACCCCAACGAGGCAATTCGACAGGCTGGCACTTTTGCGCACCCAAACGTCTCTAGCGACCACAACACATGCGTAAGGCCAGGCCGTCGGAAATGGCCGGTTAGATTCTAGTCGAACCTCGAAGTCCGGCGAGATCCGAACTTGGCGGTTGCCGGAATAGAGAGGAACGGGTTTCTTCGCGGGAAGTCGCATACTGGACGGGCTGATTAGCGGGAAACGCGACGATCCACATCTGAGCTTCAGTGGACAGGACCAAAACCCGTCGTTAAGCACCCTCAAACAGCCCCTACGACCCCCAATTAGTCCCGCAGACAAGGCGAGGTCGCACTCGGGCAATGGCAGGTTCCACAGCCAGGTTCATGGTGGTCAATGAAATTCCACAAGATCCGAACTTGCCCTCGGTTCCACTGAGGGACCACGAACGGGTGCCGACCACGAAGTCCGCACAGATCCGAACTTGACATCTGTTGCTGCGTGTCGACCGGGAGCATGACACACTTTGTTTTTGCTGGGGTCCCAATGACAGGACTATTTTTTTTGCGGGAACGCCACCCAAAGAACAGTCATGTACCCAGGACTTTGTAAAGATCCATGCAAACCGTAAGCGTGTGATTTTAGCGATGCGGTCGAAACAACAATGATCATGCGAGGAGCTCACGACTTAGCATGCATCAGATCGCAAGTCCGCCGGGATCCGAACTTCGTGTTGTCGCCCTCGCACGGTGACAACTGGCAGGGCGTTCTGAACTATCGACCCCACGCCGTAAAGCTGGAAAATTTCTCGCAAAAGCCAGTCATCAGGGCACCTGGGAATGGCATTGTGACTGTGAACACGAAACCAACAACCGCAAAAAAAAAACGTTAAGTCGCGTGTGAAAACCTGGCGAAAATGGAACTTCGGATGCCGGCGAACTACAGCAATCATGCGCTGTTTTCTCAGAGGCGCGTGCTCTCCCAACGGCCACACGATGGCAACACAATGTCTTCGTCATCCGTTCCCTCCATCCCTGCCACTTGCGACACGTGCCACGACATGATGATCATCGGGGTGTTGATGAAGATGATGATGATGCTGATTGCAATGCAGATGATGATGATGATGATGATGACAAGGACGGTGGTGATGTTGATGACTACGACGATGTCGCTGATGATGATGATGATGATGATGTTGATGATGTCGTTGATGATGATGAGGATGATGATGATCATGATGATGATGATGGTGTTGATGATGATGACAACGATGATGATGATGATGATGATGATGATGATGATGACGATGACGATGAGGATGATGACGATGATGATGATGATGATGACGACGATGACGACGATGATGATGATGATGATGATGATGATGATGATGATGATGATGATGATGATGATGATGGTAAGCAAGAGTCAAGGGGCTGCTCACGAGGAACGAACAAGTGTGAAGCAAAAGGGCATACAGAAACCATGTGCCCCAATGTCATCGACATCCGTTCCCGTCGTCCCCGCAACTTGCGACACGTGGCGCGATGCGGCTGCTCCCATGCGCCGGCAAACATGTGCGACGACTGACACGCGGGCTGGCAGAAAACCACTTTACCTTAACGACGACACAGCGCACACGATGGTGCAGCTCTCTGACGGGGCACAATTCTTAGACGAGGCGCGGTTCTTCGACGATGGCGAAGCACGCACGATGGCGCGACTATTCAACAAGGGCTGAGCGCAGACCACGACGGCCACTTGCTAACGCAGAACACAAAGAAGGAATGTCGAAGCGCCGACAACTGGACCCCAGCAGCGGGCAGAAGGACGGGAAAGAGTTGGCAACGAGAGGGACGCCCGCAGACACGTGGCGCAACAGCGGAGCAGCAAAGGCGATGGAGGAGGTCGCCGAAGGGACGTCGCGCGCGAATGCGCTCGTCACGGCTGGAGATGCGAATGCGCTGCACCAGACCCCAGGCAGCGGAGCCCAAAACTGTCATCGCACCCCATGGAAAGACCCGCCTGTGTCCCCCCGCGCGGCCTCAGACCCCGCTCGCCAGGCAGGAGGCATGAATGCCC